ATACGTAAACAATCAGGCAGGTCTATTGTGAACACACCCACTTTTGTTTATAGATGAACTCTCTCTTGGACCTTGGCGTCCCTGGGCATTCCTTCAAACCTGCTTGGGGACAAGCTTTGATCGCATCATGCCCAATAGGGAGCATAGGCTAAGGGCAAGGGTCTGAATTCAATTGAACCTTATATGAAGAAGTGTTGGGAGCCTGACATACCAAAGGGTATCATTGCAGACCCTAGATTCCTAGATCCTCACATGAATCAAGCAAATGAGAGGTATCCAAAAACAGTGTTTTTGGCATCTCTTCATATAGGGTCTATGGTGACCATACCCAAACATCACCGTATTGTGAACACATGCGATTCAGGGTGGCTCTCTCTTAGACCCTGGCTTCCCTATGTATACCCTCAAAACAGCTTAACCTGTTCAAGGACAAGATTCGACAGAATCATCTCCAACAGGAGCATGAAGCCACTCTTGCACGTAAGATCTTGGTGCAAAACTGCAGACAACAATTTTGCGCGGGGAAGAAAAACATGAAAAAACATGCACCAAACCACCATACTCGGTCGCATGCAACATCTCCCAGCAAACAACGCAACAGCCTGCCTGAGAGGCATCTTGCTGGATGTCAAAAGACGCTGCCACATATCCCTTCCGCACAAAGGTCTTCCATGGCACGAAACAAAACCCTTCCCCACCAAAGGCACGACCCTTTTGACTGGTGGGAACAATTACATCAACACGTACGACGTACACGCAAAAAATACAAACCCGTATTGCAACTTCCCTGTGACAGGTCCAACAAATAAACAAAGAAGTCATGCTCTGTATACTGTATACTCTTTGGTTCCTCCACAGATGTGAAAAGATTCTGTAGACTGGCTCGGTTTGGGACATGGTTTGGGCACATGGGTTTGGGACATTTTGGGACATGGTTTGAAAAGGAAAGATCGGCCGCCAACACGGGAGGGTCTAACATCGTATCCCTGAGTCAGAGTCATACGATCATAGACCCCCCTTCCCATCCCCCGAGGGGGGGGTCTAACACCTTTGCCCATTTTGGTGCTTAGGCCTAGGGTTTATGATGTTAGACCCCCGTTTTGGGGTCTACAATTGTGCCATGGACGGTCCCGGCCAGTTGTTGAGGGTATCTTTTCTTCGTATAATGTTGTATGCGCAACGTGAGGCTCTCAACCGACCATTGTTTCAGCATGCTACGCGCACAATAGTCGTGCTGGATATTGCTGGGCTTTGGGCGACTGAAGCCTACGGGCTGTGCCGTTTGTGCGCATACTTTTGTGCGCAAGGTCATACGGCCTTATCGTTCTGCAGGTCGTTGCCTCAAGCATGCTACATGCTGTTTGTGATTTATTGTGCGCATAAACTTATATCAACTCTTTTCGAAGGTGATGGAGAGAGAAAGATCACACTTTGTTATTCTCCAAACAGGGATGGCGATGGGGCTTTTGCTACAAATAAGAATGAGCTGGCTGCGCCTTCGAAAGGGTGTCGGTGCTGGTGCTGGTGTTGTGGTCCCGGGCGCTGGTGCTGTGAGCTGGCTGAGCGCGTTTAAGACGGGGAGGCGCCGTAAGCTGGCTGTGCAGGCTGCGTACATTCTTGTTCCAGCCAGTCGCATGTCAACAGGTCGTGGGATTCTGCTTAGCTATCTGGGTCTATGCTGGTGTAATTTTTGTTTTTTCTTCGTGGGCATCGACGACTTCGTCGTGCAGTGGATGCTTCCCCATGTGCTCTGTGTGTCCTAGGGGTGTGTGAAAACTTGCTATGCGACTTCGACAGCGAGGGCTATGCGCGTGGCATTGCAGGTGTGCTAAGTTTTAGTTGCCTTGGCTTCGCCCGAGGCGAACTACGATAACTACGGTCCATGTTAGCATATTTGAGATTCAAGCACACCATGGCAAATATCTTGAAAGACTAAAACACTGGATTCGGATTGTGAAACGACAGCGAAGATGTGCGGAGTGTTCTTTCCAATCGGCTGCTCAAGGTGACGGTTTTTTTTTAATAAATAATGCATCAGCATACCTCAGTGCCCATCAGGGTTGCAGAAGTTGCGGCATGCTCAGTGCTCGCCAACCATGACACAACTCGGAAAGATGCGCTTCGGTAGTAGGAAAACTTGCCCTCATGATCATGAGTTTCATCCTTCCGAAATGAGTCCGTTTTTGTTGACTTCATGGGTTAAATTCACCATTTGTCACCCAAAGGTCAGGGTGTTGGACTGGTGGGGGGGTTGCAAATTCTTGGTTAGACGTTTTTCAATGGTGGGATATTGTGCATCATCCAGCCCCCGAGAAGAAATAGGAAGGCCACCTCAAGCCTCTTTGCGGCCATAGCAGAATGGACAGCAACTGGAACATTCAGCCATGGCATGGCGATTGGCCCTCGGTGGCTCATCTTGGTTCTGGCAGAGGCTACGGCCGAGGCGGTACAACATGATTTGCTGCACCCTTTTTGGCGCAAGGCAAATGTTTGAGACACCGGTCGAGGGATCACCAAGGCCAAGCAACTAGAAAGTGATATTGCAGTGGTTGAAGTTATGGCACTACCTCCACCAGTGCGCTTATAAAACCTGGACGAGGTGAGGCCAATGCATCCATTGATCCACTCTAAGGCTTTTTTGTTGATTCTTCGTGGATTATTCGTAGTATTAACTTTTGAGTGCAATGTTTTGTTGGCTTCCAATTGCGGCAATCATAAGGGGAAACGTTTGAATTGGTCGTGTTCAGTTCTGCTGCAGTTTTAAAGGGCACCAGTCCAATAATGTGCCACAGCTGTGGCAATTGAGTTTCAATAGATCGTTTATGAACACATGATCCGGGCACAGTGGCCTGCGAACAGCATCTTCCAACTAATTTAAAGGCAGACCTCCTCAGACCATTTTAGGTATTCGGATTTGACTGCCCGTTTGATCCACGACCTGTGTCTCACCATTTTACCATTGGATGCACGGCGCTGGAACTGCAGTTCTGGTTCTACCTCTACCCACCACTCTTCGAGAGAGATGGCATCTTGAGTTTGTGGTACCGTGCCCTGGCTCAAGGCAGGCCAAGAAGAAAAAAAACGAAGATCAATGTTCGCACATGTTTATATTTTCGTCTGATCTAGCACACGAGGAAAGTGCCCGGAGATTTGTGTTGTTCATCATGTGGATCCAGTTGGCCCAGGTGAATTGTATTCAAACCTGGAACAGCACCCGTCTCGGACCAACGATCCTGACCTCGCCTCTGCAGCTCGGCCAGATTCTGAACCGGTGCCCGTGCGCCTGGTCCGTGCAGAGCACGCCTTGTCACGTGGCCACTTAAAAACCGATAAAAAAATCGGCTTTGCAGCGGAGTCCCAACAAGTCCAAGTCACCACGATCGACGGGAAAACCATTGTGAGCACAGATTTCTTTGAAATATGATACATCCACCCTGGCACCGAAATGCCGATTCACAGGTCTTTAAAAGTACAGCAATTTGTTGCCCGGTGTATGTTTCTAGATGCCTATGATGCCAACGAAATCTTGCTACGTTCTGTGTTGTTTATGTCGCGATCGCTTGGCATCACTGCACCATCTCCTTTCTCAGGTGTTCTTCTTGGGCATCGATGTGACCCGCCAGAACAGGGAGACCCACACAAACACCCAAAACGATAGTAGAATCCTTAGACGTACACATTTTCTCCAAGGTCCTTACACATGCCCAGACATTTAGGGGCAGCATTGACTACATGTGTTGAAGTGTGTGTGAGGCACATTAAGCAAGTGCTCTGTACAGGCCCCCCCAAAATGTTCAATGGATGGCCCGAGGAATTCTGGATTGGCATTGTGCGCCTGGATGGAGTTCTCAACTATGTTGATTGATAGGGAACTCATTTCGTTGACATGACGTTGTTCAAAGGCTTCAACAAACAGTGCACAGTTGGGAAACACTTTGAACATATGCTGCATATGCTTGACAAAGGTGTCATGTTGCTCACGTATGGAATGGTGCTGTGCCGGAAGCACAGAAACCCTAAGGCGTTAGTGCTTTGGCGGGCATTGTGAAGCCCATAATGGCGTTGAAATTGGCGTTGATTATTCTATGCTGGTATTATTCTAGTCGCGGGTTCATGGCCATAAGGCAAACTAAATGGATGAATGAGCGCCTGCGCAGCATACAACTTTTGCAATTCAACCGGGGTAACCACGCTCTGGCCGCATATCGCCGTTCCATTGGAATGGAATGGTTTGATTCTCACAGAAATTGACTAACTTTCGGCATGCGGCATGTTGTTTTTTCACGAAAGGTAGCCCTTTAGGGGATACCTTGAGTTTGTCTTGCGAAGCAAGTGTTGGGACGTCCGGGTCTAATAATTGATCGCTCAATTCAGACCCCCCCCTCCCCCTCGAATTGATTTTTCAATAAATACCCCCCCCCCCCCCCTCCCAACTTCCACGGCTGAAAATCTTGAGCGCTCTCGCTGGCACATTCGGAGGGGCAGAGCGAGTGGTTCCATCAAGGGACGGCGCTGCTTCGTCGTATTCAGAGATTGCACTGTACTCAGAAACTGTCAGCAGCGTTCGGTTTCAACGTCTTCGTGAGCTTCTCATGATTTCAGGATAGTTGAAACCCTCTTGAACATTCAGAAAGAGTGACGAAGAGGGAATATGAAATTCTAATCACGAAAGGTGTTCCCCGAGGGGATACATACCTAGAGTTTGTTTTGTGAAGCACGTCAATTCTCTCCTGGGGAGCGTCTTCGTGAGCCTCTTATGGTTTCACGATAGTTCAAAGTCCTAGGATGTTCCGATTCAATGCTCACCGATGATCTGAGCCATGGGGCAAGTTTGTTTTCCTAAGAATCTTTTTGAACATTTCGAGAGCATATGCTTGAACATTTAGAGTGCATATGAACATATATTTACGAAAGGTCGCCTCCGAGGGGATAAATCACCATGTCGAACATTGCATTTTTGTTCCTGCCTCTCGCGTTCTCTTCTCTTCCCACTGTCCTACCTTTCGTGTCTCCCTCCTCTCAAGTTCTGGTGGGAAGCGAGACGCCTCATCCTTGGCCTGAGGTGAGTTGTGCCTATTTGTACCCAGTGATGCTCGGCCGACGTCAGGTTGATGATTTTGCTCAACTTGAGGGAGTGGCCAAAGATTTTTCCTGCTCAAGAACCGAACCCCTTTGAACGCCCGGAGGGTCCCAGACGTATCGATGAAAACTTTGTCTGTGAAACTCAGTCGGCACGTTCAAACTGGGATTGTAGGATTATACCTTTGAGGTATGCGGCACCCTCCCCCGGGGTTGAGAACTATGTGCGGGAGGCAGGCGTGACGCGTTGAGAAGCATGCCTTGCTTGGTTCCTAATTCATGTGGGTTTGAATTTGTTCCCAAAAAGAGCTCACTGCAGACTTGATGCTCGCCGAACAGCACCCCTGTGAGAAGGGTGCGTAGAAGAGCTTGAGGTCAATGGCCGTTAGACCGAGTCACACCATGAAAGAACACTTCACTCCTCCTCACGCTTCGGCCCTTGCACTAGGGCCGCTTTGGTCCCCTGGGCGACGTACAGCAGTGCCGCCAGACCCGGAAAGCGCGGCTGGATGCCTATGTGAGGCGGGGGTAGAATGGTGTAGCTGCCCCGCAGTCCAGACTGCTGCAGAGTATAGTGGGGGGTTGATGTGATCTTTGGTTTGTGAACTAAGCCCTACCAAGAGCCTCTAGCGCTGATGAACGATGCTCGCACGACTGGCCCTCAATCATGCCGGTTGGGGCTGCGCAGAGGAGCAGCACACCATGCCCATGATAAGTTATGGAACATAAATATGTGTGTTCTTGAGCTGGAACAGAAATGTGTGTGTTCTTGAGCTGCAGAAGCCTGAGGTCAGGTTGGGCACCCTACTGGGGAGTCGAAGGCAAGCAGCATGTGGTGTTCGATCAGCTGCTGGTCCGTGTGGCGCATTTGGAAAAATAAACGCCCACCGGTAAGTACCAAAGTGAAAACGGTACACTCCTGAAACTGGAGCTCAGTGGCGAGGAAGATTGCCAAAACCTTGACCCGACCAGACATGCCGAGAGCGGCAGGTTCATTCCCGCCCACCCATGTGTAGTTCCATGACTTAACGGGTCAAGGGGGATGGCCCTGTGGTACTCAAGATGTAAATTAATATGACATGTCAGTTGCACCCGGCTGGTTCCACCACTTGCTTCTTGGACATGAGGGTATGCCATTGTTCGGAGAATGTCCTGCTCACTTTAGCGGCCCCCACGACATCTTTGCAGAGCTTGCGCAGCTCAAACCATCCACCGATCCAAAATTTCAAGCACCGATCGATCCGCACCGGAAATTTGGCCGCCGATAGCCAAGGCTTTGCCATCACCCAGTGATGGAGGTGATCCAAGGTTCCCACTTTGTTTCCTTGGCAGGCGGCAATTGACGTGCAAATGACATGGGCAGCGGACATCATCAGTGTTGACATCAGAAGATGAACCTCCTGCTGCAAGCTGACATGGAACTCGCAAACCTTGTTTACCAAGCCACCCTTCAGATTTGAGGTCCTAGGTTTGCTTTGGGGATCAGCTTTCGTGTGTGTTCTCTGTGTGTGGGTGCGTGCGCACCTTCCAGGGTTGTGTTCAGTGGATGCTAGATGATGCTAGTGGATGTATGTGGATGTCACACTTGGCTCGTGCACCATTCGCAGGCGTTGGTCATTTGAAAGGAAGGGCCTATGGCTACCGAACCTGGGCTGAAGTGGGCTTGTGCAGACGGGGTGAAGGCTTTCAGTGGAGCCCGTCCTGAAAGCAAATGGTAAACGCTCATCATGGAGCACGTTCAGGCTATTTGCTACTGAGCGGCCTGTGTAGTACCAAGCGCATGCGGCTCATGTGGCAGAGGAGGCAGGAGCAGGGCACAGGCGAGAGAGGTCCACCCAATGTTTTTGTGGGACGGTCAGGCCGAGGTACGTGGGTCCTGTGAGCGGGCCATACAGAGTTCGATTTGGTATTCTGGAGCACTCCGAGATAACTAACTATTATTCACCCGGCCGGTGACGGAGATCTCCGTGATTCGTCAATGGGCCAATGGATGCCACAATTTCATGCAATTTCTTCATTGCGATTGGCAGGTCACACACACCAAGGAATATGAGTGAAGTGCAAGCTGGTCTTCCACTGTGCGTGGTCACCACCCCCCACCCCACCAGCCTTGGTCACAAGGTTTCTTGCAGCCACGCCGGGCTAAGCTTTGGTCAGATAAGTGACTAAGCATCTGGAAGGTGAAGTGGCAGCGGTTCCATGATCCATGACCAACCAGGGCCTTTGTCATTTGGACACGCGCCTCCTGCACGTTCAGTGCTGAGTGTGGGAATGGTGCGAAGCCTGGTAGTCCGCCCAGGTCAGACCATCGACATCTCCTGGCCTGAAATGCCTGTGGCTGTGGAGGACCCTGTGCGGTTCCCTTGTGGTTGCCATGCGCGGCCGCGGCTGGTGTCATTCCAAGGCAAGACCATTGCAAAGTGTGTGGCCCTCACGAACGCAGAGAACTTAGGATTATTTTTACGCCCTGAGAGGTGCTTTTTACAGGTTGGTAATGCAAAATGTTCAAGGCTGGCTTTGGAGCAGGAGCCCCATGTGAGCGACGGACAAAATTATTGGTTGACTTATTTAGTCACGGCATGACCCTAAACCTATGTTGAGGGCTTCGTTTCTGTGGAAAACGATATGGTCCCCACCAAAAACGATAATCTTGCTAAGACGTACTGTAGTGGGTACAAAGACGTTTGTGGTTACAATATGTTATTCATGTGCATGTTTATTTGAGCATATTTGAGCTAAACCGATGGGCACAACTTTTCACCAATGATAACCCCAGACAGCTTCCCAAACGATAATCCAAACGATAAGCAAACGATAACCTAAATGTCACGCCAGTCACTCCGTAGACCAACTTCTCCACATTACCAGTGACTAGTGTTTGTTCATGGGCCGAGCTACTAGGTTCCCGCTTATGTGTTGTGATCCTTGCACAGCCCAGTGCCACAAGAACCCAAGTGCATAAATCAAGTGCTGTGCCATTCCTGTGCAGAAAGCACTGCAAGCCTCTAAGACTCTAATCTCAGGTTGTGAGTTATATGTTGTGTTTTAGTCTATGTGCCGGTATGCTATGCTAACTGCGGTTTGGAGAAACATTGGAGAACGATATGGACCCCACCAAAAACGATAATCATGTCAAATGGTATTTGGCTACACAAGTAATTTTGTCCGCTGCTCATGTGATGTGACATTCTTTGGAGCAGTCACTTTGCCATAGGGTCCCCCAGCAATCCGTACTATAGCATGCCTATACAACTCATTCATTCACGTCACCTTCTGATTCTCAGCGGTTGGTTTTCAAGCTCGTATCATCAGCAGCAGTCTCACTGAGTTTGGAGTCAAGCCGGTGCTGGGGATGGGACTAGGCGCAGGCACGCGCACTGTGCGAACAAAGTTGCTGGAGCTGCATGATGGGGAGGAAGTGGTGGGGCGCTCAGCAGCTGCACCTGACATATTTCAAAGCTTAGAGCCAAATCGCGGCCCAGATGGTACAACAAAGCGAATTCCAACATGACTTCTCACCTCATTTAAGGAACCTATATATCGGGACATTTTCGGAGACTATTGCTAAAGTTTGCCCCCTTCAAAGGGCAAGTGGTCAATTCCAGACAAACTGCTGATGACGTCCCGAAGGCAGGTTGAATGAAGAGTCCTAAAAGGTCATGCCGAGTCATGGCAAGTAGTTTCCATGTTTGCAGTGCAGGTGCCTTTTTCAGTGACCCTAGATCTCTTGAGGGCAAAGACGTTTGAAGGTGGTTGGTCACTTGGTGAAATGTTACAGTTTGAAAACCCTTCACTGAAGTCACTTTTTGTCATGACACCTTTTCACGATCGCAGAGCGCTCTTGAGCTGGTTCAAAAGTCCGTCCTACCGACTTTGGTAGCGGAGCCCCGGCCGTCCGGGGCTCCTGCGTTCGCCATTGGCCGCCTGGCGCCTTCGGCGCCGCCCGGCGCGATCCCGGGCCCGCTGCGCTGCCCGCGCTGCTTCGCTCTCGTCGCCGCCACGACGACGATCCTTTTTTGCTGTCTCACAAATTTGGCCATTTTGGTCCTGTGCATTTGTTCTTCGGCTCCGAGGGCACCTGTGAAAGCAGCCAATTTTGCGCCCGTGAAAGCTCCCGAGTACACGACCCTGGAGGTGATTGACCTGCACTCCATCTTCCTGAATCAGACGCTGACCATTGACATCTCCCTGAATTTGCAGGACTACCCGATTCAGGACACTTTCACGTACCGGGACTTTGCCCGTGATCTGTTCACGATGGCCCAGCCGCTCCTTGGCATACCTTTGGCTGAGTTTCGTCGCGACGTACCACCTGGTTGGGCTCCGAACCTTCCAGACTACAGCCTGAAGTCTTATTTCGACAAACTCCGCCTCTGGTATAGACTCTACCAAGGCCCTGACGAACAAGTAGGTCCTCTACTTGCGGGACGCCTTCAAGGAAGAGCCCAGAAGATTGCCATGGGTCTCAAACTGGTTCGCCCTGACGGAACCTACGATGTGGGAGACAGTGCTCTTGTTCGGCTGTCCACGGACGAGGTTCGAGATCCCATGGACCCGAATGTCATCTTGCAGCACGCAATCCCAAGTGGAGTTCAAGCTCTCGCGAACGCCCTCCGTGAGACCTTTGGTCAGTCTGACCAGGAGTTGGCCACCCACAGTTTGGAGCAATTCTTCCTCTTCAAACGGGGTAAGCTTTCGATGCACGAATATGCATCAGAATGGGAGCTTCGCTATGAGTCTGCTCAGCGCCACTCAGGCTTGGAGATCAACGACGTCGCCAAGAGCTTCCTATTTTTCCAAAGTTCTGGATTGCCCAACAAGTTCATTGAGGATGTCAAGATCCAGATCCAAGGCGACATGTCTCGTTTTGAGGAAGCCAAGCGCCTGACCTTGCGCCTGAGCAATCGGAGTGACCAGCATGCTCTGTCCCAGGACCTGTATACTGATCAGGCCTCTGAGTTCTTCTCCACTCCATCCTCGTCATGGAACACCATGGACTACGACACCTACTATGACGATTGGTCATGGCAAGATGACCCTTGGCAAGCCTATCCAGAAGATCCCTGGACCGGCTATGCAGAGGATGAATGGTGGCAAGAAGATGATTCCTGGTCGCCTACGGCATCAGAATGGCACACCCCTGAGGAGTATGTCATCCATGACGACCAGCATGAGACAGAGCAAGCTGCTGAAGCCCCTGAGACCTACTATGAGGACGAGGACTACTACCAGCAGAAGAGTGGCTGTCATGTCTGTGGCAGTCGATGGCACCTGGCCGCACAGTGTCCCGTCAGAGACAAAGGAAAAGGCGGTTATGGAGGAGGAAAATCCTCCTGGAGGCCAAAAGGGAAAGGCAAGAGCAAAGGAAAGAAGGGCAAGGGCAAAAGCAAGTCATTCAAGGGCAAAGGCAAGTTCAAAGGTGGCAACAAGGGCTACTTTAACGACATCGACTACAGTGCCCAACGAGGTCAACCTGAACAAGGACTTTCTCTGAGTCCTCCAGCTTCATCGTCTTTTACCACTGAGGTGAAGCCCATCCATATGACACCACCGAGGACTGGAGAGTTGCTTCCTTGGCAAGAGAAGAAAGTGACCTTTGCTGAAGATCAAGAAGATGAAGAAGCTCCAGCTCCATCCGAGCCAGTTCGCAAGCAACTTGCTTTTGCCACCCATCTTCATGCAAGCTCTGAGGTCTACCACATGGTGAAAGGCGTCAAACGCCGTGGCTTGCTGATTGACCCTGGTGCTGCCGCAGGTTTGGTTGGCAGCGAGACCCTCCGTGACCTCCTCGCCAGCTGCTACCAGGACAAGCAGAAGGCAGTGACATGGTCTGCATCAGATGCCACTATCACTGGCATCTCAGGTCAGCCAGACAAAGCTCTTGGACGAGTTCATCTGAAGCTGCCTTTCAAGAACATGGAAGCCACCTACACCGCCGATGTCATTGGCAAAGAAGGCAGCCGCTGCCCCGCTCTGGTTGGCAACCCTGCTCTATGTGCGATGTATGCCTCTCTGCATTCACGATGGTTCACCAACGATGATGGACTTCTGGTTGCCTGGGACACTTCCAAGAGCGAGCATCCACAGATGAACCTCTTCCGAGTTCTTCTCACCGACAGTGGTCACTACCTGCTGCCTTTGGATGAAGATGCTGGCATCTGTGATCAGCAACCTGAAGCCTTTCACTTCATCAAGCACCTCTCTGACGTCTCCCATCGTGCATGGCCAGATCATGCATACACCTTCTGGCAGAACGTGACTGCCCAAGGACCGGAACGTCAGTGGAGCACTCATGGGACACAAGTTCGATCCCTTCAAGATGATCACCCGCTGACTAGTCTCATGAGTGAGCAGAACAAGAACCACGACATGGATACCTCATGTTCCACGTCACCGATCAAAGACCACGACACATCAACATTACCTATCACATCATCCACCTCAGATATCACTTCCACTGGAGGAGTTGAGGCTGCAGACAATCTCTACCAATGTGATGACGCTCATAAGGAGCATAAGTGTGAATGTTGCCAGAGTCACAACACTCCAAGTTCCACGACACCTGAACAGGTCACATCATGTTCCACAACAGCCACCTCATGTTCCACAACACCTGGAGGAGTTGAGGCTGCAGACAAGGACTACCAAGAGAAGAAAGATAGTGTTGTGACATCTCAGTTGATGGCCACAAATCTGAGTGAGCTTCCACTGTACGTTGATGACTCTGTTCCACCTCACCTCTCACAAGAAGATCAGCAGAAGCTCAAGAAGGACTACAAGGCCATGCCAGAGGAATTCTATCGCCACTCCAATCGCCGAGTCGTGACGCCAGACACCTTTCCTGCATGGTTCAAGGAAGCCAAGCGACATGGAGTCAAGTGGCAGATTTGGGAGCTATTCTCCGGCTCGGGAAGATTTTCTCTCCTGTGCACTCTGGCTGGTCTGATGGCTGGTTTTCCTGTCGACTTCCGCTATGGCTGGGACATTGGCAATCCAGCACATCAAGACATGCTTTGGAGCGCCTACACCACCTTCGAGCCTGAAGTGATCTTTGGCTCTCCTCGCTGCAAGTTCTGGAGCATAGCCGCATCGAGACGAGATCGACATCAACTTCTACAAGATCGAGAGAAGGACAGATCGGCTTTAGTGTTCCTTCAACGCCTGTATGCTGAACAGGTGAAGAAGTCTCGAGGCTACCTCCTGGAACAGCCATTGTCTTCAGCTATGTGGGAAGAGAGTGTGATGGCAGAGAACAAGAAGTTCCCTGGCTGGCGAAAACATCGCCGCACAGATCAATGTGCATTCGGAGCAGTTGATGAGCTTCGGAAGCCAGTGTTGAAAGCCACCGGCATTGAGGCGAACTTCAAACTACGCCTCAGCCTTCGTCGATGCAATGGACACAATGGAATGCCCCATGCACCTCTACAAGGTCAACATCAAGGCAAGAATCGCACTGCTATGGCAGCTGTCTACCCGACTCGCTTCTGCAAGGCCCTCATCCAGGACATCATTCAATGGTTTCAGAAGCGCAACACTCTGCACATGCGCTTGGTCGACTCATGGACCTATCACCAAGTCCTCTACAAGTGCGAGCGTTGCAAGTTTGGCAGAGCTGCCACAGCTGATATGGAGCATTCCTTCATTCCGGGAGAATGTCGCCATGGTCGCCTGTTCAAGGAACCTTCGGCAGCTCCTTCGGCTGCATCAAGTCCCACAGCTGACTTTCAACGAGGCATTCGAGCACATGGAGGCATGAGTCAGGTTGAGATACAAGTTCCTGACTCTATGGAGTTCACCGCTGAAGACAAGCTCTACCTGAAAGGCCTGCTGTGTCAATTGGTGAACGACTCCATGACCATCTTCGACGAAGTCACCGACGGCAACTACTCCCGATGGATTGAAGATCCCATCCTGATGACGATTGTGCGCTCATGCCTTCGCAAGATTCTCTATGTCCACGGAGTGTACATCATCCTGCATCCTTTTGCCAAAGCATTTCCGGAACCAAAACTGCGAGCTGAACTTTGTCCACTGCGATTGATCTGTCGAGGCACCTACAAGTCCTGGACAGTTCATCCACTTGAAGATCTTCGTGAAATGTCACCAGCTCAGCAGAGAGAAGCCATTGAGGAGCCTGACTGGATGATTACTTTCTTTGGCGATGTTCGGGAACCCACTTCGACAAGAAGGTCATCTCCAGCCACACCTGCTCCAGGCACTCCAGCTCCTGGCACTCCAATGCCTGGTACACCAGCGCCTTTGGTGCCTGTACCTGCAACTCCGATGCCACCTGCTGAGGAGACTTCTCAAGCTTTGGTTCCTGTGGATGATGCACCACTACAGGTGGCTCCATATGAAGGAATTTCAGCTGAAGCTGCCAATGCTCGAGCTATCAAACCTCTCTACAGTGTACGACGAGTTCTGCAGAAGCTTCCTTCGATAGCTGCAAGCGATCCGACTCAGGCCAAACGACTCCTACTTGGACTACACGAGAAGATGTGGCATGCAACGGCTGCTGACTTCACTAGCCTACTTCAACGAGCAGGCATGCCGCAAGCCGCGTTGGATTTGATTGGAGAAGCTGTTGCTTCCTGTGCCGTGTGCCGCCGATACTCAAGGCTTCCAAGCAAGCTAAAGAGCAAGGCTACTCTGGCAGCTCAGTTTAATGATGAAGTTGAGATGGACATCTACTTCCTTTGGGGCAAGGCTTTTGTTCTTTTGATCGACGTGGCCACACGCTACAAGGTAGTTTTTGAGACTCCAACTCGATCTCTTGATGATCTTCTTCGAGGCATGCTTACTCACTGGATCAGGTATTTTGGACCAATGCGCATGCTCACCTCAGATCAAGAGACTTCGTTGATGGGTCCTGCTGCCGCCATTGAGTTTGAGCGCCTGGCCATTTGTCGCAATCCCAAAGGCACCACTCAAGGAGAAGCTGCCAAGCAACACACTGGCACAGGTCTGGCAGAACGACACATCGGTTTGATCAAGCTCACCATGGAGAAGGTCAAGGCAGAGCTCGATAGACAAGGACTCACCATGGAAGATGCGGACATTGCTGCTGAGTCCGCAATGTGTCAGAACCTCCTCATGACCTACGGGGGATATACGCCCTGCATGGCAGTATTTGGAGTTCTTCCTCGCTCATTCTATGAGTTTGAGTCCACCACTTTGACTGCTGTTGATGGAGCTCGAGAACGTGATCCCTATATCTTCGAGTCTGCAATGAGACTGCGTCAAGTTTCTCTGGCCGCAGTTCAGCAGGCCATCGCCGAAGATAGAGTTGCACGAGCCTCTCACAGCCGACCTCAGAAGGTGGACACCTCCGAGCTGACTCCTGGCACATCCATGGTGGAAATTCACGGAGGAGAAAGTTGGCGAGGCCCTGCAGTGCTGTTGGAAGTCAATGAAAATGAAGGCACCGCAATCGTTCGACATCAAGGAAAGCCATATCTGCTTCCTTTGAGATTCGTCCGCCCTTTTCGTGGTGTGTTCTTCAACATGGACACCACAGCTGGCACTACCTTGCATCAGATGATGGCCATGATTGAAGCAGCTCAGCCCTATAAGCAGCACTTCCTCGGCTACAAGCTGATCCTGCGCCACGACGGAGCACATTGGAAGAACATTCCTTCGACTCCTACGGAGGCACAACAGAAGATTCTGTCAGCATTTGGACAATGGGAAGAATGGGCTCAGCATCCCGTCCACGGAGTTCTATATGGACAAGCATGCCATACACTTCATCCACTACCACACACTCGTGGAACTATCTTGACATGGTTGAAGGGCACCTCTGACTACATCAAGATCCACAAGGAGGATGACAACTCAATGAAGCTCAAGGATGAGTATGGCCAGCGCTGGGAATCTCTTTGCGTCATGTACATATTCTACTACCCGACCAGCACTGAGATGGCACCTGCAGAAGCACCTCATGGAGACGAAGTGCAATCAGCTCCTGCTCAAGCACCACCTCATGCACCACAAGCTCCCGTGGAGACAGAGAGAGACATCGACTGTGAACTGCCCATGAAGCGTGGCTCAGCTACCACTGATCCTCCGCTACCAGATCCTGATCCCAAGAAGGCCAAGTTCGATGTCGCACACAACATCACCACGGAGCTGCAGAACCTCCACACTCTGCAGTGGATGATTGACCGCAAGAGATTCTTCCGCCTGCACAATGAGGCTTTCTGGTCAGAGACCTACTATGTGCCCCGATGGTTCAACAAGATCACCAGAGAGATGGTCACACAGAAGAGTCAAATGCTCCACGAAAAGGCCAAGGAGAGAGGTACCTACTTGGTCCACCTGGCCAGTTCGAAGAAGCGCCACTTTTTACCTTGACTTGTCCAACGGTGGCCGCTACATGTCTGTCACCGCAGAGGACACGATCTCAGAGACCGATCTGGCAGAGATTTGGCCATTGGTCGAAGAGGCTGATGGAAAGGAGATGGCGCAATTCGTGGAGGAGAAAGCCTTCGCCAAGATCAAGCTTTCTGACGTTGCTGATGGCACCGTGATCATCGATGGCACCTGGGTCAGACGATGGAAGATGAAGCTTGGCAAGCGAATTGTGAAGTCTCGAATGTGCGCCAGAGGTTGTTTCGACCCTCAAAAGGAACACTTGAGCACGAGGAGCACTACGGCATCTCGCTTGAGTCAACGGATTTTAATGAGCACCGCAGCTTTGATGCAAGTGGATCCTGAATCATGGGATGTTTCTGGTGCTTTCCTCAAAGGACTCTCCTTTGACAAGATCCGCGAGATCTTGCTCTCCCAAGGCATCAAGACACCCACACGATCTGTGGTGTTGATCCCGCCATACAACTGCTGGCGACACCTGGCTGCTGTTGATCCTCAGTTCCACCTGGAACCTGATGAGATTCCACTTTATGGACTACAATGCCTCAAGCCCGTGTACGGCCTGAATGACGCACCAGTGGCCTGGCAATTGAGTTTGGGAGTGTTTCTGAAAGAGCAGCACGGTCAAGCTTCCTTGTTGGACGACAGCTTCTACTTCTGGAAGGATCCCAAGAAGAGTCCAACACTACGTGCAGCTCTCACCACTCACGTTGATGACCTTGCAGTCGTTGGTGGTGGCAACTTCATGGACGACCTCTACAAGACAATGTGCAAGAAGTTTGGCAAGATTTCCAAAGAAAAGTTGCCATTTCCTCACTGCGGCTGTTTGTACTCCAAGACCAAGGACGGCTACAAGATCGATCAGACTGAATTCGCCACGAAGCTAAAGCCATCCACGAATCCTCCTGGAGATGATGAGAGAGCACTGACCGCATCTGAAGTCACCGACTTGCGCTCAGTTGTTGGAGGTTTGCTCTGGCTATGTTCAACACGATTGGACCTGGTGGCCGACGTGGGAGTACTACAATCAGCAGTATCTGCTCCTAAGGTGAAGCACCTTCGAGCTGCAAATCTGTTGGTCAAGAAGGCAAGCAGTCCCGACCGTGTTCAATTGGGCCTGCACTTTCGCCACTTCCATGGAGCATCCAGCTTCCGCCTTCAGTGCATACATGATGCATCCTCTCCAAGCAAAGGACGATCCTATGCTCAAGAGGGAGTCATGGTCCTGCTCATGCCCGAACTGCCTCAGCACATCCTCAACCAGGACGAGATCACGTGTGATGATGCAACTACATCACAGCTGAACGGCTATGGGCACCTCCTTTTCGCTCATGGAGGAAAAGCTAAGAGAGTGTCATACTCAACCTCACATGCCGAGACATTGTCGGCAGTGAACGGCTTGGAAGCGAGCAGCATGGTCAGTACTCGACTGACTGAACTTTGGATGGACAAAGCCAAGCCGACCTTGAAGGACCTCACTCAGCACCAAGAAGAAGGCTCACGTTTGTTTCCAGTGGACTCCGCCACAGACTGCAGAGACTTCTATGAGCCGAGCACCGGATCTCGTGCTGTGCCTCGGGACAAGTTGCAGAGGCTCTACATCGCCGCCATCAAGGAGGCACGAGTCACTGGTCGCCTTCGCTACTTCATGCTCATTCCAACTCAGAGCATGCTGGCTGATGCATTGACCAAGCCAATGATAGCGCCACAGATGATGGAGTTTTTGAGCTCAGGACACCTCTTCATGAAGAACGAGCCCAAACATGTGGTGTTGCTTCGCCGCCTTCCTACACTTGAAGACCTTCGAGAAGAAGATTTGTGGAAAAGCGACGACCAGATTGCAAAAGAAGTACATCAAGGATCCAAGATGGCAAAATTGGCCTGCCTGACAAGCTTCAAACTGAAGCCATGGATTGCCACTCTGGCAATGACATCATTGATGATGACCACCGCGTCCGCACAAGGCCAAAATGAACCACCGAGGCCAAATGAAAGCGCCAACGACTGGACCTTCATGATCATGATCTTCGTCACTTACATGGCCCTTCGTTTTGGCGAGTTCCTTGTGACGTCAGGCATTCAAAGCCTCCTGCCTCGAAAGAAAATTGCCAGTCCACCATCTACTCCGTCGAACTGTCCAGCTGGAACACCAAGGACCCTGAATTTAGATGGATCTTCATCGACTTCTTCTACGGCACGACCAAAGCCGAGCTCTATTCCTGCGCCTTCCGCTGCTGTTCCAAAGATGCCTGCACCTGGCAGCCCGATCATCGACTGGTCTGCATCAGGCACGACCGTGTTCAAGCAGCCGCCGCCTGCGCCGCCGACTGAGAGCGCATCTAGCTCAGGCCCTGGCTATGAGCGTGTGTACTTCACCGCTACTGGTGAATGCTTTCATGTGAATCCGCAATGCGGACACTTGAGACATCATAATGTGATGTCAAAGCGGTACTGCAAAGACTGCTCCAGGATCCGAAACGCCAGTGGAGTTTGAAAACCCTTCACTGAAGTCACTTTTTGTCATGACACCTTTTCACGATCGCAGAGCGCTCTTGAGCTGGTTCAAAAGTCCGTCCTACCGACTGTTACATTTTTAGGCCTTGGAATCACAAATTCCCTGACAAAGAGCACAGAAGGTGAGTATGCAAATGTTTTTTAAAACTCTTGGAGAGCTGAGGCTGAAGTGTGCATTTTGTGGCTTAAATGGGTTCACGGCCCACATCCGAACAGTTCCATCTCATGTCCTCACGTCATCACACTGCACGCCGTGTGAGGTGATCCACGTCGCAGACGTCTCGCCACTTGGTGGCCTTCAGTCTTTGGGCAGAACATGGCACAAAGCAACTCTACATTGATTCAGCCAAAACTCCTACATGATGGTTTGGTATGGTCGTTATGATTAAATTGTTTTGCGGCTGATGGACAGGAAACGGTTGTTCCTCCACCACCGTTTGCAACCTAAACAGTGTCCTTCACAAGGGGCGCTGGTGGGATCGGGCAGCAGATATGTGGGGCAGAGTGGCGCGCGCAGGTGTGGTCTTCATCAGTTCTCAAGCGCCGTTTGGCCTGATCCTAGGCAGAGTGCCTTGAACACCACTGACGCCCGTTGGGATGTGAGCCACCCGCAGAAAGCCGCGCGACTCGGAGCGGAGGAGGAGGCTGGTGACCAGACCACGCAGGTTTTGACCCCAGGAAAAAGGACGAGCGCCAGAGTTATGATATGTCATCATATAAAGGAAAATCACTCAAGAACCAGGTTGGTAGTGGTGGTGGTGGTGGTCCTGTCATTTTGACACCAAGGCCAAACCAATCGAAGCCACTAAAACTGCGTAATATGGGAGCTGACATGTGTTTGCTACATGAAGTTACAAGCTCAGACAAGATGTTCTATGACAAGTGCACAGCCAAGTGCACCCATTTCAATTATGCAATATCAATTGTAAGTTTCCTGTGTCACTTTAACCGTGTTGCTTTCGTCTTGTTATGTGTGTTTTTTTCCCGAAAGCATTGCGAAGGGTTCTTCCGGAAAATCCTTTGAACACTGACACTTCGACACTTACACTTCGACACTCACACTGACACACTTACACTTCGACACACACTGACACACACACACACTGGAAGAGCGAAAGCATCCAAGTGCGAAGTATGCCAGGGTCAAAGTATGCAAGTGAGAGTATGCAAGCAAGTGTGAGTATGGAAAATATGGAAAACTAGCACGGGAGATGTCCTAATGAAAAA